TCATATACTATTCTTTTTAGGTTACAGGTAGCATATTGTAGGGGTGCCTGGGTGGCTCAGTCAGTTGAGCTTCTGCCTTTACCTCAGGTCATGATCTCTGGGTCCTGGGATGGAGCCCCGTGTGGGGCTCCCTGCTCAGCGAGGTGTCTGCTTTTCCCTCTCCCTCTGCTCCTACCCCCTGCTTGTGCATGCCTGTACGCTCTTGCTCTCTCCCAAATAAATAAATAAAATCTTTTTTAAAAAAGTGTACCGTATACACTATTTTATGCAAAACTTTTTTCACTTAGCAACACATTCTGGGAATATATAGAGATAGGCTTCATTCCATTTTATAGCTTTGGAATTCAAATGAAATTATTTGTAGTATGCCATGATATGGATGTGCCAGAGTTTAGTCAACCTGTCTCCTGTTGAAGGACATTTGATTGTTTTCAGGCTTTTGTTGTTGCAAATGGCACTTCAGTGAATAGTCTAATATATGTGTGTTGTGTTATATTTTATTTTCCCCAGTGTATCTAAGAATCCTGGAAGTGGTATTGTTGGGTCAGACAGTAAATATATGATTTCCCTTGATGTTGCCAAATTCCCTTTCATAGGTGTTTTTCTGTTTTGCATTCCTCTAATAATGTACAGAATGTTATTTCCCCATATCCATAAAATTTTAGATTTTTGCCAATCTCATAGATGTGGAATGGTATCTCAGCATAGTTTCAATTTACATATCCCTTGTTATAAATGTGGTTGAGCATTTTCCATTTGTTAAGAGCCATTTGAATATCTTTTTCTGTGAACATTTCATATTTCTTGTCCATTTTTCCGTAGAGTTCAATGTCTACTTTTAGAATCTTTATATAGTAGGAATATTAACCTGTCTTCTTTCCTACTTTATCATGTTTCTTTTTACTTGGCTAATTTTTTCCACACACAAAAGTATTTTTATTTATTTATTTATTTATTTATTTATTTGACAGAGAGAGAGAGAGAGAAATTATAAGTAGGCAGAGAGGCAGACAGAGAGAGGGGGGAAGCGGGCTCTCTGCTGAGCAGAGAGCCCAATGCGGGGCCTGATCTCAGGATGCTGAGACCATGACCTGAGCTGAAGGCAGAGGCTTAACCCACTGAGCCATACAGGCGCCCCCAAAGTATTTTTATTTTATGTGGTCAAATTGATCAATTTTTTTTCTTATTGTGATGTTTATAGCCTAACATTTTAAAAGACTCTTGTTGGCTGGTGTGTTGGAAAGAGACTGGTGGGAGCAGACCTGGGTGAGGCAAGGGCAGAAACAAGATCAGTTTGAATGTGGTAGTAATAATCCAGCATTGGTAACTGTGGAAGTGGTTCTGGTTATATTCTGAAACTTTTGTTAATGGATAGGATGTTGGATGTGTGAGAAAGAGAAGAGTGAAGGTGACTCCCAAGTTTTTGGCCTAGCATGATTCAGTTGCCATTAACTAAGGAGGAGAGGCCTGTGGGAGGGGCAGGTTTGGGGGAAGATTGGTTATGGACATGTAAACTTAGAGATACCTATTGGACATCCAAGTGGAGGTATCAAATAGAAAGTTGAATATGTGAGCCTCTAATTTCAGGGAGTGTTTAGGTCCATGAATAATCATTTGGGAGCTATCAGCATGTAGAGGATATTTATTTAGGTTTTCCATTTTTATTTATTTTTTTATTGAGGTATGCTTTCTAGATTCTGAAATGTACAGATATTAAGTATGTAGTTCAATGACTTGTGACAAACATATACACCTGTGTAATCCCAGTCAAGTATAGAGCATTTGTGTACCCCAGAAAGTTCCCTTGTGCCTCTTTCTAGTTAGGCTGCTGCCCAGAGGCAGCTGTTGTTCTAATTTATATTACCACAACTTAGTTTCTCCTCAAGTTGATAATATTTAAAACAGAAGGCTGGATGAAATCACGAAGGGTATGAATGTGGATAGAGAAAAGAAAAGGTCCAAATACTATGACTTGGGGAATGTCAAAGATAGGGGAAAATGAGGAATTGGCAAGGAAACTAAGAATGAGTAACCTGAAAGATAGCATGAGAGCCAGATGGAATGGAGTCCTATTTAAAAAACTATTTCAGGGTGCCTGGATGGCTCAGTGGGTTAAGCCTCTGCCTTCAGCTCAGGTCATGATCTCAGGGTCCTGGGATCAAGTCCCACATCAGGCTCTCTGCTCCACAGGGAGCCTGCTTCTTCCTCTCTCTCTCTCTCTGCCTGCCTCTCTGCCTACTTGTGCTCTCTCTGTCAAATAAATAAATAAAATCTGTTTAAAAAAAAAAAAAACTATTTCAGAAAGGAGTGAGTGATCAACTGTTTCACATGCTGTCACAAGGTCTTGAAAGATGAGGATTCAAAATTTACCAATAGATTTTAGCAACAAGGGGATCATTAGTGACCTTAAAAACTGCTTTAACGGAGTGATAGGGCCTGAGGGCCTGATTGGAGTGGATTTGAGGGAATGGGAGGAGAGGAACTGGATAGCAAGAACATACACAGTCATTTTGAGAAGCAGAAAAGTGGCGTCATAAGTGGAAAGGAGTGTAAGATCAAAGGAGGGTTTATTTTTATTTATTTATTTATTTGGAAAGATTTGTAGAGAGAGTGCTTACGTGCAAGCAGGGAAAGGGACAGAGGAAGAGGGAGAGAGAATCCTCAGACAGATCCCTGCCAGCACAGAGCCCAACATGGGGCTCAGTCCCAGACCCTGAGATCATGACCTGAGCCCAAACAAGTCAGATGCTCAACTGACTGAGCCACCCAGGTGCCACCGCCCCCCATGCCGCTTTTTTCTTTTTTCTTTTTTTTAATTTGAGCAGTATTTCGGGTACCTTTGTGCTCATGCATTTAATCCAGTAGAGGGAAAGCTGAAAATGGGAGAGAATTGCCTGAGTGATGCCCTTGAGTCAGCAAGAAGTCAGTCCCTGAATGCACAAAGGAGGGGCTGGCCTGAGGTAGGGGCCTAGGCAGTTTATTCATGGTAGTAGGAGGAAAGGCAGGTAGTGGTACAGTTGGGAACATGCAAAAGGTCTCTTTTGGTTGTTTCTGTTTTTCTGTGACTCAGGAGGAAGGAAGGGAGGGAGGAAGGGGATGGAGGTGACAGGAGAGGAGTGGGGGGACAGAGGAAAGAAATGTCAGAGGTTGAGGAAGGAGGTCTCAGTTTAAATTAGTCTGAGAATGGCATTGTTAATATATCATCTCTTCATCCCCAACCTTACTGATAACAGTTATGTGACTTTGGTAAGTCACTTTTGTTTGTTACACCTCAGTTTGTTTTTGGAATGAGTGGTAACCCATCTCTTAAGGCCGTTGTGAGGACAAGTTGAGAAAACACCTAGCATTGTTCCCAACCCATAGTAGGTATTTAATAAAGGGTTATTCCTTTCCCAAGTGTAGCAATAAAACTGTTAGTAGATTATGCACAGAATAATACTTGTAATACTTAGAATACCATGAATACCCTTTTCAAATGTCTATTTAACATCTGTTGTCCTTATATATTCAGATTCTGGAATTGGAGAGTCAGGTGCCACATTTTTAAAAAGAATTAGATCTTTTTTCTCCTGATTTGCCACTTCCGTCTATAGGGATTGATTGGATAAATTTATCCCACTAGTTTGTTGAAAAGATGGTTTTAGTCACGTTTTTCAAAAGTTCTAAGTCACCATTTCAGAGTTCTGTTTGATCTAAGTTCAGTTTGGCTGTACTTAAGAATGGAATGGGGTTGAACCTATTCATTGCAGATTTTAAGTTCTAAGATTGATTTAAAAAAAAATTTTTTTTAAGATTTTATTTTTTTGACAGAGAGAGATCACAAGTAGAGAGAGAGAGAGAGAGAGAGAGAGAGAGAGGAGGAAGCAGGCTCCCTCCCTAGCAGAGAGCCTGATGTGGGACTCGATCCCACGACCCTGAGATCATGACCTGAGCTGAAGGCAGAGGCTTAACCCACTGAGCCACCCAGGCAGCCCTGATTTTAAAATTTAATATGGAAATTTTCTAATATTTACGAAAATAAAAAGTGTAAAGTATAATCAATCTCCATGTATTTACCTAGCTACCACCTTAAATGATATTCAGATTAATATGGACACTTAAATGGTCTTTGAGAAGATGTGGAACTAACTTGTCTTAATTTACTAATGAGTAAGAGCTAAAGATTCTGATTTAATAATAATTTGAATTCCTTCAATCATTAATTTATTCATTGATTCATGCAACAAAATTTATTGAGGGTCAGCTTTGTTCATTAGTGCCTAATGGCTAAGAGCCTTGCCTGATTGCAAATCTCAGCTCTGCTACTTACTAGCTGTGTTGTCTAAGGCTAATCAAAGTATTCTAAGCTTCAGTTTCCACATTGGCAGAATTAAGATAATGCTAGTATCTACCTCATAGTTTGTTAGGTTTGTTAGGAGGAATAATTGAGATACACTGGATTGCTCGGTAAATGTTAGCTGCTGTTATTATAGATATCATTTCTCATTTTCCTCCTCCTCCTCTTTGTCTTCCAGATTTTGTGCTAGGTGTCCCTGGAGAGTATGAAAGGATTAAGATGTAGACCTTCACCTTGAAGAACTAGAATTCCAGAATCCCAGAGTATTAGAGCCAGGAGATATTTTCAGGTTTATCTAGTTCGGCAAGCCCAGAGAGCCTTAGTGAATTGCCCAGTATCACAACATCTTTAAGTGGCAAAGCCAGGCCAAAGCTCAGGTCCTTTAGTTGTGAAGGCTCTTGTGACAGAATGGCTGCTCTGTTGGCTTGACTGTGCCCCACTCCTCAAACCCCAGTCCTTCTAAATTGACAGTCCTGACCTGTTTTCAGGTCTCTGCCTTTTCAGTGTGTAAACATCGAAGTATATGTGAGGCTTTTTGCACATATTGGACCTTAATGTGCCCTGGACACTCTCTCCTTCTCCAGGGAAGACTTGCTAGGAAAGGTAGGCAGGCTGTCTCTCTGTGTAATCACAACGATGTTCTTATCTTCCTCTTGTATCACAGCCCAGGAGTTAAAGTCACTGTTTGAAAAAAAGTCCCTCAAAGAGAAACCTCCAAGTTCTGGAAAGCAGTCAATATTATCTGTACGGCTAGAGCAGTGCCCTCTGCAGCTGAATAACCCATTTAACGAGTATTCCAAATTTGATGGCAAGGTAAGTAAAAATAAAATGTTGTCTTTTTGAATAAAACCTCAGTTGTGTGGAATTGTTTTTGTTAGTATCATTATTATTAGATTTAGGGCTTCAAAAACGACTCAAAGTAATTATAGAATGTCATTCACATTTTCTATGACCGAGGATGTAAAAAATTCTGAATTTGGGCTGTATACTGTTTCCACAGCAGTATATTTGGAGGGTTAAAACAAAAACAGTCTTGGAATATTTGTCCATGTACTCTTTTTCTGTGTTTCATCTTCCAAGTATACTTGAGGGTTTGGGTTGTTGGGTTGTGATGAATCAAGGCCTGATTGCGTTGGGAAAGCTTTGAAGGTGGTTCTGGGGAGACAGTGTGCATTGTTTGGGTCTGATTCTTTATTATAACTGTAGAAATTGTTGAGCTTAAAGCTTCATTTCGGATTTCTAGGCCATTGTTTTTATGTCAGTATTTCATTGTAGGGAATCTTGTTTGACACTCGTTGTGCGGGATGGCTTTATTTTTTTCTGTTTGTTCTAACAATTTGCAGTTTAAAAATTAAAACATGTCTATTTTCCTTTTAGAAAAAGGGCCACCATTGTAGGCGGAGTGTAGTTGCCCTTGCAGCACCCTCTCTCCCCACGCTCCCTGCCTTCTGTGTCTCTGTGCCGAGCTGAGCTGGGCTTCTTTGAGGAGACAGTAGCAGTTGATTTTTATTTTTATTGCCATTATATTTGCTGTCTGGCAGTGGCTTGGAGGTGCTGAGTGATAGCTTGTTGCCTGGAGGGGTTGCATACAATTTGTCTTATTTTAACACCACTGCAATTAATAAACATACAGGCTCATTGCTTATGTTTCCATTTTTTCACATTCAGCTTCTGGTTATGTGCTGGTTCTTTCAGTTGTCTGAGCAAGGAGGTGTTTTCTCTTCGAAACACTTCTACCTCATAAGGTTCCATATGAAGCATATATGGCCACAGACAAGTGAGGTTGTTGATGTTGGTGGGAAAGGAGAGCCAAGAACTGGAAACAAAATGTGGAAGTTCCATAAAGATACTAATATGCTCAGGAGTTGCCTCCAAAAAAATCTGAAAGGACTTTTAGTAAATGAGAGATTGTACTGATGTAAAGCCTCTCTTTAGCCTGCCCCTCCCACGACTCCTGTTTCTTGTGGAATGTAGCAAAGAGAAGGAAGGGTCCCCCTAGGGGACAGGAATGTCAGTCTCTGGAAAATGGAGAGTTGGACTATAGGATTTGTTTTTAAATACTACAGTTGATTCATTTCGATATATATGTGTGAGCGTTATTATTGGAATTAGGTTACATGGCTGGAATTTATTTGCTTCCTTTGTTTGATACCATCTCATTGTTTAAGGACATAATTGCTGGAATAATTACTCTGTAAAAATACTTGATGCCAACAAAATAGCACAGATATTTTAAAATATTGTGTCCTAGAATTCCTATTATACCACTAGATTTTATTTTATAAATTACTTAGCTTTGGATTTGAGAGAAAGTTGTAAGGTGTCTTTGGTATATATCTAACTTTGAAAGTGCCAGGGAGAAATTAAAAAAAAAAAAAAGTGAAGAAGCCATTTCCTTGGTCACAAAGGAATTATTTTTGCTAGTTGTGTTTACACTTAAGGCTCTCCATACTTTTGTCATATCAAATCTATTTGTAATCAGCAAAAGGTATATGCATGGAGCAGTCACCATTACACTTTGATTAAGAAAGATTTATATATTGATAAGTCTATCCCGTGATGCGATGCTATTTTATTATTAGCCTCCATATTACAAATGCTAAAATACAATTAAACTCTTGTTCTCATCTATTATTTAATATTGATGCGTTTGGCAGATATGTAATGAAAGGCTAATATTTGAAGGATATTGTACTGTACATATTAAATTAGTCTTTATCTTTGTGAAATGCATCAATATGATATTCAATGACATCTCAATGATTAATAGAGAATTACACTTGAGTCAAGCCTTTTTGTAACCTAGAAATTAAAATGACTATTCAAATAACACCTCAAAATGATCAAATTAGCATTTTGTGATTGCATAATAATGGGATTGTAGTAGTTATAACAGCGCCATGGCTGCCTCTAGAGTTAAGATCATGTCAACCCCTTGATAATAAAGCCTTTCTGTGAGAGTCGACTTTAATAATTTCCAGATTGATTCTTCCCATAAATCACTTGACGTTCAGCACTAAATTTTTGTTACTGTTGTAACTTAAAATTATTTTATTTTTATTCAGCTCATATTTAAGAAGTGAAATGAGTGTCCAGTTTTAATGATTCACCATCTTGTCATTGAACTCCATGCTTTTTGCTTCAAATGTAAGGGTTTTTCGTGGACTTTGATAGTCCTTTTTTTTTTTTTTTCCTGTGAAGGTTTGTTAAAGCCACTAAAATATATACAGAGTTTTCCTGTACAGATATTCACAATGCTTTTCTTGGGAATAACGCTTGCCTTATTTACATAATTAACCGAGTTGCTTAGGTCTCTTGGGCAAATGGTACATAATTGGGGAGAGAAGGGGATAGGGAAGAGTTTGGGGTCTAATTAAATATGCTAAAAAAACTACTTAATTATGTATTTCCTCAAGAGACTGACTGCTGTGAAATCCTCCTTAAGATTAAACTAGCGTTAGATTTGAAAAAAGGATTTTGTTTTTGGTGTGGCTTTACAATTCATTGTAGGTAAGCCAGCATGTCTAGTGTCTTTAATGGTTTGTGCAAACTGGATTGTTGTTGGTTTTAGTGATTCTAAGGGTAAGCATCTTTTAGCTATTATGCTAAATTAAAGCGAATACTATTCAGATAATTTGTGGTACCTGTAGCAGTTTAATAATTTCATTTTTAAAAAGTGTTGATTAATAATTTCTTAGAGGAATACAATTGAGAGAGAAAGACTGTGCTTAGGCATGTGCTGTGTTGTAATTTTAATAATTTTTTGGATCTGATTTATTATTATGTTCTCTTTAGTAAATTGGTGATGCTGTGACCTGTTTTAGATTCATTGATTATTAGTAACTCTGTTTACTGATGATTTGAAAAAAGTCCAAAATAGATTGCAAGTGGCTTTAGGGAATGCTTGCTTGGTCGCACAAGGCAAAACCAGGCTCAGCCGTCTGCCTGCATTCTTTGGGCTTGTTGAAAACAGGCCTCAAAAAGCTTAATTATCAAAATCTGTGTTCTAAAGATTGCGATAATCAGAAAACTTCTTGTGACAGTCCTTCTGATTTCACTGTATGTGGGATATATTAGGTTTGACAAGGAGTTGCTTTGAGGAAATGGGCTCATTCATGGTAAGTGAATACTCACTCAGCACTTACGTAAGTAGCCCCAGATACGTGAATTTCTGTCCTGTCTTTCTGCCTGTTTCATATGAAGTCATGTTTTTGCAAGTATCTAACCCTTTCCATTCCATGCCTTATCACTTACTTGAGAAACTTTTGCTAGTACATCACCACTATTCTGGTTAAACTGAATTTGCAAATATTATCATCATTAGTAGACTGTTCAAATTTTATTTTATTTTATTTATTTATTTTCAAAAAGTATTTATTTACTTGAGAGAGAGCAAACAAGTGAGAGAGAGAGCATGGGTCGGGGTGGGCAGAGGGAGAGGAGGAAGCAGACTCCCTACTGAGCAGGGACCCCCCCCCCCAACTTGGGGCTCAATCCCAGGACCCCGGGATCATGACCTGATGAAAGTAGACGCTTAACTAACTGAGACACTCAAGCGCCCCTTATTTTATTTTTGTAAGTAGGCTCCATGCCCAGCTTGGAGCCTGGTGCAGGGCTTGAACTCACACCCCTGAGATCAAGACCTGAGCTGCGATTAAGAGTCAGCAGCTTAACTGACTGAGCCATCCAGGCACCCCCATTAGAATTTTAAATACCCATTTCCTGTCAGTATAGTTACTAACAAAGAAATGATAATGATTATCGGTTTTGGCATCTTGGTCAGATTTTCCATCTCTCCAAACCTCAGTTTCTTTACCTATTAAAGAAATGAGAGTTCTTCCTCAAGGCTGATGAGACCATCAAATAGGATAATAGTTGGCTAGAGCACCTAGCACAGTGAGAAGCAGTGTAATTTACTTTGTGACCTATTTTGTAGTAAGACCTGAGTTTGAATTCGGACCCTACCACTTGACAGTGTTGACCTCAGGCTAGTTACTTAACCTTATGAAGTGGTCCAGTCCTTGTATGTGGGTTGAGATGATGGTAATGTTCTTTCTCATGAGGATTAATTGAGATAAGGTCTGTTTACCAAGACATGTAGCCCCTAATAGGAAGCACTCAACAGATATCCCACTTCCGCCCCTCTCTGTAAAGGATGAGGGCCGGTGATGTCGTCCCTTCTTAATGTACTTCATTAGATATTGACAGGATTGAGTGAGAGAAAGTGTGTCTTGAATCCAGGAGTTCAGAATAGCATTGTTCAATAGGACGTGTAGCAGACTGGGTGAAGTTCTGCCCGAAGTTCTGCCCGAAGTCCAGCGAGTCCAGTGAGGCTTTGAGCTTTAACTTTAAATAGGAAGATTGAGTCAAGTAAGTACTTCCTTTTTTTTTTTTTTTTTAAAACATCGTAGGAGAAGGTAGTTCAATATGTCATTGTTTGGTAGTTTACTAAAACGTGAAGTATTTCTTTGACTTCGCTAAATTCTACTCTAAATATAAGGAGAATGTTTGCCTTGAGTGCTTAAAAAAGCAGAACCCCTTCTTGTTCATATAGACAACCTTGACTGTGATTGTGTTAACTTATTAGAAAGTAACCATTTCTCTGTTAGAAAGTGTTTTAACCGAAGCTGCAGAGAGCATGGGGGAAGGGATAATTCATGAGTGCTAATTGCTTGGCTGTTAATTTTCATAAGTGTTGATAGAAGCAGTTCCTTAAATTAAACTTTGTTTAAAATGTATCAGGGGAAATATTCCACAATGTCGAGCCTGAAGTGAAAATTAATATGAATGCTGTGGCAATTAACACATACTGG